TTGCTGTGAGCTGTGATGCCATGGCACTCTACCAAGGGCAATAAAGTAAGACTCTGTCTCTAAAAAATAATAATAATAATAAAATAATGTAGCGTGCATGAGAGTCCTTCTGCCAACCAGGACCTCCCTCTTTCTAACTCACCATTGAAATTCAGCTCTTGTCCTCTTCCCTGCAGGCCTCCTCTGCCCAGGTCTGGCCCCCGATCCTGGCTTACCTGTCCTCTGCTGTCTCCCTATTTACTTTCAATCTTGACCACACGTTTCAGCATTTTTCTGGTCTCCAATTCTGTCACCTTTGTTGATTTTCCTCCCCTGCTAGATAGCTTGTAATAGAAGTTTCCTTGCCCTTGAAAAACATAGTCTTTTTGGAGAGACAAACACAGATCACATGTGAAGAGGGCAGGGTCACAGATGAATAATCAGTGTGGCTAATGCTGTTGGCACCTTGCCTAACTGCCAGAGTGTACCCCGGCCTAGCTCCCAATTGCCAGCCCCTGCCTCCTGCTGCCTATGGAGCCAGAGCCATCTTCCATTTAGTGGTAGATGGAACTGATACCCTCCACTTCCCCCAAAGCAGCCCTCAACCAATGGCGAAATATAAAGACCCCAGCTCCCTCATACTTAGGAGCATAACTCTGAGCAGTGTGCTCTGGGCTGCCTCTCAGCGTGCCTGGAGGGGCTAAGCTCCAATCACCACCCTACAGGAACTGCTGTGCTATCTTTCCAAAGCCCTGCATTCCCTCAGCAGTGCTTCCTGGGCTCACTCAACAAGTAAACTACCCACACCCAAGTCCTTGTGTCCCCGTCTGCCTCTGGGTAAACACAGTGTAACACATTTAGGTATTAAGAGGATAGAGCTCCCTTAAAGAGACTTAAAGTAGGAACCAATTTATCTACCATGTGCTCTGCATGAAACGTTTTACACTTAATCCCTACCCTACCCCACCAACAATCCTTGGAGTGGGTGGATATTATTACTCCATTTTACAGATGACCAAACAGAAGCTGAGGGAGGCGACACAGCTAGTGATAGTGTCCAGATTCTCTACTGTCATAAATGTAAATAGCAAAGTCAGGTTATACATCAACTAAGGGGTGGCTGAGGGAGAAGGGAAGACTCTGTGGGCTGTTGCTAGGTTATCCAGCCTGAAGACCCGCTCTTCTCCCCACTCCCTTCACTCCAACTTGGTTCCCATGGATCTTGCAGGACGGATTCTGTGCAGCTGGGGCACGGGAGTGATGGTGGAAGAATTTAACAAGGGACAAGGAGTTGGGGGAGGAGAACCTGCCAGCAGCACTAATGACCTGCCTTCATTTCTGCTTCTAGATCAGGCGACACCCCAGCTTTAAGAAATTTTTTTATGAATTCTCCGACTCCTCCCTCAATAAGCTGGTAGCCACCCTGTGCAGCCAGGCGGCCCACTTCTCTGAGCTGGACAAGAACCTCGCCAAGAGACCCTACCAGCTTGGCTTTGGCATGGCTAACAAATTTGCCAACCACAAGAGCCATGCCTTCTCCATCCTCATGGGCCTAAGAAGCCACTACAGTTCCACCCAGTTCCCATACAGGGAGTCCCAGCTGGTGAGAGAGGTGGGGAAGGGCAATGGCAGTGTGGCACAGTGACCAAGGCTCACAGTCCCAGTGGGATCTACTTACTGTCCTCTTCCCTCCTCTGCTTAGTACAGAATTTTCTGGAGCCCATTCAAATGCCACCTCCTTGCTGAGGCCTTCTGAGACAATTCTATACCACAGCAGTTGTTTTCTTTTCAAAAATCTCACTGATTTTACTCCATTATTATCATACCGTCATCTTTATTCAGCTTTGATTTCTAATTTCATGTACATTTTCATGCTTTTTGATAACAGTATGGCACATTGGACTGGCTGCTATCTTAGCTTGCCTTGCTATTATTTCATAGGTTCTGCTGGTTGGTTTCCCAATTCTAAGCTGTCATAAAATTTAAGTAACAAACTAAGGTTATTTATCAAGTAAGAGGTGGCTGAGGTAGACAAGAAGGCTCCATGGGCTGTTGGGTCCTGGCAGGCCTGTAGGAGGTGCTCATTCACTGACTTTGTCTCCGTGAGTGAGATCAGCCACTCCCCTGCCATCACACTCACTGTTCCAGTTGCTTGCAGCTTTTCCTAATAATGCTCCCTCCCCTAAGGCTCTAAGATATTCTCTTTAGAGATGGTACTTGTCACTGATTGCTTTTAAATTCTGTGCTTTTATGTTTTCTGGTGGTCTCTGATAAAAAGATTTCTCCATCCTTCTCAAACTCACTTGAGATAAGCTGCTTGCAAACATTTGGTCCGGATCTATAGTGTAGAAGCTACCGAATGAAAGTGTGACTTTAAAGAAATGAAATGTTCTGTTTGGTGGTGTTGAACAAACAGGACCAGGATTCTGCATTTTAAATGGTCCCCTGGGAAAGCCAGACCCTTTTTTTTTTTTTTTTTTTGAGACAGAGCCTCAAGCTGTCACCCTGGGTAGAGTGCTGTGACATCACAGCTCACAGCAACCTCCAACTCCTGGGCTTAAGCGAGTCTCCTGCTTCTACCTCCCAAGTAGCTGGGACCACAGGCACCTGACACAACGCCTAGCTATTTTTTTGGTTGCAGCCATCATTGTTGTTTGGCGGGCCCAGGCTGGATTCGAACTTGCCACCTTAGGTGTATGTGGCTGGCATCTTAGCCACTTGAGCCACAGGTGCCGAGCTGGGAAGCCAGACCTGTTTTGCAGTGAGGTTACTATCACCAAGGTACTTCTGTCATTCTCTCCTGGAGATATTTTTCGAAACCATTTGAGAAGTCTCTCAAAAAAACTGGTCTTATTTCAGGATAGTTTTGCCTTGGCGTTCAAATGTTCTGTTTCACCTTGGCTTGTTTTCCTGGTGAGAACTTCTCAAGACCACAGACCTCTTTTTTCTTGGCCTCATTCTGTTCTCCTGGAGAACAGGGAAGTTATGGAGAATTTGCCCTCTAGGGTGGGTTAAGTAATAGCTTTCAGAGGGATCTGAGTGCTTTGCAAAAAAATTCATAGAAAGACCTGGCATCCCAGTTGCTCTAACTCTATCTCTGGTTTTACTAACCATTCACTCACGCACTTACATGTTCACTCAATCAGTGGATAGTGACAGCCTCCCATGTTCTTAGCTGTGCAAAATGCAGTGAGCCTTTGCAGAAGGTTTTGCTTTCAAACACTTCATCTGCTAATAGAAAAGACAACTGCTCACCGGTGACAAATTAAACAGCCATCAAATGCCAGGCGAGTGGTAGCTGAGGACAATGGAGCAAGATGGGCCCAGGAGCCCTCCAGGAGGTGGCAGGAACCAATTTTGATCTTTGAGGAGGGAAGGTCATCTGGGGAGGAGTGTTTGGGAGAGTGATGTCAGCAGGAGGTGCTTCATGAACAGAGGTCAGGGCTAGTGTGGGGTGTTGTGGGGGAAGGGGACCCACAAACAACTGGCTGTGGCTAACACCTGTGTTATTTTCCTCCTCCCAGAATATCACAAGTCAAAGTCCAGATTGAAAATTGTGCCCTGTGCTCAAGTTCCTTTGAACTGGCCAAACAATTGGCAGCTTTAGCCAGGAGACCCTGAAGATGCTCCATGATGTCCCGTTCCCATGCTTCACAACATGACTAAAGATAAGAGTGGACAGCTATTCTGTGTCCAGGCACCATTGTCTGAGAAAGCACAACACATTGTTCCATGAGGGGAGACAGGCTGTGCCAGGGGACATCTCTCCCTGGACTGGGAATGAAGAGACCAGGGCTCCACCCTCCCCAAACCTGCTGCAAGATGCCATTCATGTCCCCTCTCCCATCTAGACCTCGGACTCTGATCTCATTCAGAAGGCCTACTGACATTTTTCCAGATGTTTTAACTGAGTCTAGTTTTAAAAATAATCTTTTATTTAGTCTCTAACCAGAACATCTGCACACAAACTGATCTGCATCTATGTACAGTGCATTATTTATTCAAATGGTCAATAGCACTTAATGCTCACACAGTTTACAGGTGCCTCCCAGGAACTCTGCAGGTCCTGGGTGGGAACGATCTATAGACTGGGGACCCTTGGTCTCTCAGAATCCTTCTAATTCTGTGTCCTATAATTCTATGACCAGAGAAATGAAGCTGATAGCTTTCATCTCTCCCATTGTGTGGGGTTTGCTTAGTCAGTGAGAAAATGAATGTGAAGAATTCTGAAAATTACATAGCATCATTTCCATGTATTTTTTTTCCTGTTTTTAAACGGAATCTCGCTTTGTTGCCCTGGGTAAAGTGCTGTGGTATCATGTCTCACAGCAACATCAGACTCTTAGGTTCAAGATCCTCTTGGCTCTATCTTCCAAGTAGCTGGGACTACAGGAGTGCCACACCTGGCTAGTTTTCTATTTTTACTAGAGATGTGGCTTTGCTCTTGCTTGGGCTGGTCTTGAGCTTCTGAGATCAAAGGATATTCCTGCCTTAGCCTTCCAGAGCGCAGGCATGAGCCACCATGCCCAGCCGGTTGGAATTCTTATTATAGCTACTTCTGGGTGGTTTTCAGGAAGTAGAGGAGGTCTTTAGGCTGGACTGCCATGGATGGTTGCACAGATGTGCACTGCTGAAGAGCACCAGATGATGGGGGGGGGGTGCTATTCACATCCTAGGCACGGTGGATTTCTTTTTTTTTGAGGCAGAGCCTCAAGCTGTCGCCCTGGGTAGAGTGCTATGGCATCACAACTCACAGCAACCTCCAACTCCTGGGCTCAAGCAAGTCTCCCGCCTCCACCTCCCAAGTAGCTGGGATTACAGGCACCTGCCACAATGCCCGGCTATTTTTTGGTTGCAGCCATCATTGTTGTTTGGCGGGCCCGGGTTGGATTTGAACCCACCAGCTCAGGTGTATGTGGCTGGCGCCTTAGCCCTTTGAGCCACAGGTGCTGAGCCATGCACTGTGGATTTCTAGATTTATGATGATAATTTTCCAGCTGATGGAAATTAAAGTATCTTGAGAAAGGGGCTCTTTTTTGTATTTGCACAAAGGTGAGGTATGGGGTGCTAGAGGCTCTGCCTCCCGCACAGCTGAACAGTTTCAACAGCTTGACTCAGGTGGGCAATTTACCACACGTCCTTATCTACATGGAGGCCTGACAAGAGTGCAAACAGACACCCAACTCCTTTGGACTTTGCCTGGAACTTGTGGTCCTGGGGGAGAGGATGTTAAAACGTGGCTGGCAAACTAAATCGTGTTGCCCGTGGTGGACATGGTGCTGCCATGTTTTTTTTTTTTTTTTTTTTTGAGACGGAGCCTCAAGCTGTCCCCCTGGGTAGAGTGCCGTGGCATTACAGCTCACAGCAAGCTCCAACTCCTGGGCTCAAGCGAGTCTCCTGCCTCCGCCTCCCAAGTAGCTGGGACCACAGGCGCCCGCCACAACACCCGGCTATTTTTTGGTTGCAGCCGTCATTGTTGTTTGGCAGGTCCGGGCTGGGGATTCGAACCTGCCACCTTAGGTGTACGTGGCTGGCGCCTTAGCTGGTTGAGCTATAGGTGCCGAGCCGGTGCTGCCATGTTGAACCTGTGCTCAGCACTGTGGGAAGGGTCTGGAGAGGAGGAGAAGCAGAAGGTTAGAGAGGTCCTGGGCACTTAGATGGGACTGTCCCCAAGCAAGAGGCAAAGTTTCAGGAAGCTCACTAAACATATTCTGAAAGTCATTTAGCTTTTATTACTGCTTCTGAGAAATGGGGGAGAGGTGAGTTATTTATGGATTTATTTTAGGCAATATTCAGGAACATAGCACCAAAATGTGAAGAATTAGAATAAGTTTGGAAATGAAGGTCAGGAACCTTTTGTACAGTTTTTTATTTGGAATGATGTTCTTTAAACTGTATGAGTATTTGGTATGAGTCCCTGATGCTGGCATCTGAGTCTCATTTTGTACTGTATCATTTGAACAAATAAAGAAATTGACTTGCACAAAGATTTGATCTAGGTTATTCACCACGGAAGCAGTACAGATGCCTTCCTGCTGCGTCTAGGAGAGCCTGGTGCCTGCAAGGCTTTGGGGCTCAGCCTTCTTGTCTCTGCTTGGGGCTTCTCTCTGGCTTTTCTCCAGGATGGGACACCTGAATTTGGGATGTAGAGAGTGCCAACTCACTGAGGCAGTTAAATAAAAGTGTCCTGGGCTGAGTATCAGGAGACCTGGGTTGGTGACCTTGGGAATAAGATATCTACCCTCCAGAACTGACATCTTCTAACTCTGTCTTTCAGGTGATAGTTCATTATAAGCTCTTAGAAAATGCCTGATTCTGCATCATTTCTTTTTTTTTTTTTTTTGATACAGTCTCACTATGTCGCCCTCGGTGGAATGTCGTGGCATCACAGTTCACAGCAACCTCAAACCCTTGGGCTTCAGTGATTTTCTTGCCTAAGGCTCCCAAGTAGCTGGGACTACAGGTGCTCTCCACAATGCCTGGCTATTTTTGTTGTTGTTGTCATTGTTGTCTAGCAGGCCTGGGCTGGGCTAAAACGCGCCAGCCTCAGGTATGTGGCTGGCGCTGTAATGACTGAACTACGGGCGCTGAGCCATCTGCATCATTTCTTATTAGTCTCTATACTCTGGTGCCCAAATTCTGTCA